TTGGAAAACAAGATCTTGGATAAATTATTTTTGTTGTCGGGTTATACAATATACCGACAAATCTACCGATAAATTATCCGGTCGATAAACTTATCGTGAGGATAAAGATATTCGCTGTTGTACAAACTGTTTTTGTCGGTAGAATTGCTATCGGTGAAATAAAAGTCGGTTGGTAGCACTGGGTAACACTTTTTCCCCATATCTAGTAAGTTGTGCCGTAAGTTGATAACGCTAACGTCTTTGAACTTTGAATCATTCTGACAATAATAATTGTTTACAAAAATTTTTCATGACACACAACTGACACAACGTATGTATAGGGTTAACGGTTAATATTATAGATTAACCTATGCAGTAACCATACAAAGCTTTTACGGCGAATTTCACTTAAGATGCAATATACAAAAATATATTTCCATAGAAACCAGGGCGTGTACCTACTTACTTTGTCCCACATAAAATGCAACATGTCAATATAATTTGACGTAGCAGTAAAACCTCAATATATTATAGCTTAATACAAATATACAACAATCTAGCGCTGAATAACAACTAAAACTAGAACTAACACTAGCACTAGACCTAGAACTAGAAACATTCAATTTAGCCGTGCGCCTCTTAAGACGGACAAATCTGAATGTTTCTAGTTCTAGGTCTAATGCTAGTTCTAGTGACAGTGCTAGGTAGCGCTAGTTAGCATTAGATATCATTGTGTTGCAAATTTTTATTTAACTAAAACGAGAACTAACACTAAACCTAGAACTAGAAACCCGATACTTTCTAGTTGTAGGTCTAGTGTTAGTTCTAGTATTATACTATCACTAGAACTAACACTAGAACTAGAATCATTTGGGTTTAGCTATGCGTCTCTTAAGACGGCTAAACGCAAATGATTCTAGTTCTAGTGATAGTGCTAGGTAGCGCTAGTTAGCGTTAGATATCACTGTGTTGCATATTTTTATTGAATTAAAACTAGAACTAACACTAGACCTAGAACTAGAATGTTTCTAGTTCCAGGTCTAGTGATAGTTCTAGTTTTGCACTATCACTAGAACTAACACAAGACCTAGAACTAGCATCATTTGGGTTTAGCCGCCTTAAGAGACTCACGGCTAAATCCGAATGTTTCTAGGTCACATGTTAGTTCTACTGACAGTGCTAGGTAGCGCTAGTTAGCGCTAGATATCACTCTGCTGCATATTTTTATTAAATTAAAACTAGAACTAACACTAGAACTAGAATCATTCGGGTTTAGCCGTCTTGAGAGACGTGCGGCTAAATCCGAATGTTTCTAGATCTAGGTCTACTATTAGTTCCAGTTTTAATTGTTATGTAGTGCTTGATTGTTGTATATTTTTATTGAACGAAAAGTAGAACTGACACTAGACCAAGAACCAGAAACATTCAGGTTTAGCTGTGCGTCTTTTAAGACTGTCGAAAGCTCAGGGTTGTCATAAGGACATCACCTTTTTCCAAGCAAAACTTTTTCTTTGTACAACTACCTAATGCCTGTACTATTAAGCTATGTTGTATTTTATGTGGGACAGTGGAAGTACACAGTAGTTTCGCAACTATGGTTACTGCATTCATATATTGCGAGTTATATGAAATTCCCGGTATATAAAAACCTTGGTAACCATATCTGGCGGATAACTGTCTTATCATTACCGCTAAGTACCCGATAAGTTATCCTGCCGATAATCTCACCGACAAAAATATCCGTACATTGTAATGCAGTACAAACTAACAGCTTATCGGCCAGATAACGCTGTCGGGAAGTTTTTATATCGATATATATACAGGGTGGTTCAGTTTTTAATCGGGAAACTTTACTAGAACGTAGTACTTGCCAAAATAACACAAGTTTTTTATATAAACATAGGGTCGCAACTCTTTTGTTTTCGAGCTATGAGCTGTCAAAATTGAGCCAAAAATTTACACTTTATCGTTTATTTCGGGTATAAGTAAACCATAGAATTTGAATTTGCTGGTTAATATCTTATTTTCAACAATACCTTAAACTTCCCTAGCGCCCTCTAAGGGGATAAAATTCACAACCCCTTTGATTTTTTTATAACAACTTTTTAACACCATGGAATATTAACACAAAAAAATATGGGTTGTAAAGCTTATTCATTATTGGTACTTTTTTGTCTCTTTAGTTTTTTCCTTAAAGTTAATAGTTTTAGCGTAAAAAAATAAAATATGCTACATTGTACTGTAAAGTGCTGCTATTATTAAAAAAAATTCTCTTTATAGCTGGCTATGGAAGTAGTGCACTTACTAGGATCTAGTACTAATGAAATAACACCAATTAATTGTGATTTGCATAAGAAAAATCATAAATAAGATTAATGCCTGTCTGAACAAATTACGTTGTTTTAAACAATATTAAAAAATTGATACTGTTGCTTAATAATAGTCAAAAATTATTAATTATCATCAACAATTATGAGGCAACTTTTAGAATAATTTTGTACATAGCACGATATTTTATTTTTTACATGGAAACTATTAACTTTAAGGAAAATACTAAAGAGACAAAAAAGTACCGTTAACGAATGAGCTTTACAACCCATATTTTTTAATGTTAATATTCTATGGCGTTAAAAAGTTCTTATAAAAAAAATCAAGGGGGTGGTGAATTTTATCCCCTTAGAGGGCGCTGAGGAAGTTTAAGGTATGCTAGAAAATAAGGTGTTAACCAGTAGTACACACGTACAAAGTTTCAAATTCTACGGTTTACTTACAAGCGAAATACAAAACAAAATGTAAATTTTTGGCTCAACTTTGATTGCTCATAGCTCGAAAACAAAAGAGTTGCGACCCTATGTTTATATAAAAAAATTGTGTTATTTTAGCAAGTACTACATCCTAGTAAAGTTTCCCGATTAAAAACTGAACCACCCTGTATATATAGATATTATATAAGTTCTGTCGGTATATTGTACAACCGGCCCAAAGTCGAATAACTAAAAATTCTTTAAATATTTAAAAAGAGGTGTAAATTTAAAATCTATTTGGTCATTGAGCAGGGTGTGTTTATTATCTTTTTTTATATTTATTAATTTCGAATCCCTCTAAAGAGGTGTAACTTAAAGCTTTTTTTACGTTTATGCATAAGTTTTACAGTTCCGTAATCTACTTCGTGATTTGTTGCCATTTTATGTTTGCACACATTGGAATTATTCTTGTTTTCATGTTCTATTAGTCTATTTTCCAATTTACGTCCAGTTTGCCTAATACAAATACTATTACAGTTATTACAATTAATCAAATATACACCACTTTCATTATTTAAATTGCAGTCGCTAAGATGGTAGTTAGACATAATAATTTAATTAGTGCAGCATTATTAGAATATTCTAAATTAATATTATATCTTAAAGAAATGCTGCTATAATAGAGTTATATATATTGGTTTATATATTTTAAAAACAGTTTGTTTAGAAAATAAGGGAACTTGTTTTATTTTAATTTTTCGGATTAAATTATTAATCATTCTTTCAGGATATCCATTTTTTTGTTAAATTGAAAACAAAATTAAATTCAGATAATTTGTTTTCTTCTGATAAAGGGTAATTAAATATTCTTTCAATATAATAACGAAAACTTGCAAATTTATGTGATATAGGATGATTTTAGTCATATGGTATTATTGCGGTGATAGAAGAGGATTTCAAAAGCTACCAAATTCTTCAAATCTCCCTGCAAAAATGTCATCTACATACCTCAACCATTTTACTATACGTTTTTTATAAGGATTTTTTTCATTCATAATGCAATGATTTTCTTAATAATCCAAAAGTATTTCTGCGAGTATGCTAGATAGTGGCATACCCATGGGTTCTGAAATTTTATAAATTCTGTTATTAAATTTACAATAGTTTTGGGTTACTATGTGATTTAAGATTTTATTGAAGTCACTGACATTTGTATCATTTTCAAAATGATTCATAAATAACTTTTTAGTGAGATTTAAAGTAAATTCTATTGGAACATTAGAATAAAGGTTTACCACATCAAACGAAATAAATATTTTCCAATTATATAGATTCGGCTGATGATGACCTAATGTAAAGTTCGAAACCAGTACCGAGGAAATTTATAAATAAAGCAGGAAAGAAGTTTTTTAAATCGTTTTCTTATTAATAATAAAGAATAATGTCCCTTAAAGTATCACAAAGGACAAGATAATATTTAACATTACATTCAAATTAACAAATAAACCAAAACAATCAATACGTTATATGATTTACAATAAGCATTAAAAAATTGTAATTAAATTAAAAGCGTTTTTCTCTAAAAACAATTTTTCTTCTTCAACACTAATTTTCTGACGTCTAGAATCGTTTTCTATTCAGTTGCCTCTTTAAAGACTATTAAGTAATAGGCAGCATGCTGAAAATTTACTGACGAGTGTAGTAGAGCCCAATTAGCATTTAAAGCTCGCCACGTTAGAAGTTCCTCACGTTCCAAAATTGCATTTAATAACCGTTCGGTAGTGTGAGTAAGGGTAAAGGAAACGAGACCAAGCGTCGTGACGTCGCCTTTTCTCTCTTTCATCCATGTCTACAATACCTTCACCCTTATGTCTAGACTAATTTAATTGAGCAACATACGTTTAGTTGAATTCTATGCATTAAACAGGCTTGAAGGACCGTTTTATTTCAATGCACTTTAATGGTTGCGTTCTGAATAATGACGTCAAATTAGTTTCGACGCCGAAATCGCACAATTTCATTTGCGGTGAAACAGGGAAGCCACAAAACCATTCACATATTATTGACATACTACTATAGAGGGTATTTTTTTTTGGATACTTTATAATTCTACTTTCTACTACTATATATTTTTTTGTTAAAATTATTATTACTTGCAACTTCAAAGATGTACTTATGTTAGGCATTAAAAATTCAAAACTGTACATGAAGCCGTAATGGAGCTTTGATGTCTTTGCTACTCTTAACTAAATACGTTTTGTTTCGTTCTTGTTGTAGGAGATCCCGTGGGATCGGTATGTCCACCGAACAGCTTCCGGTGTCCCGAGGGACGTTGCATCTCGAACTCGCAGGTCTGTAATTACCAGAAGGAGTGTGATAAGGCTGAGGACGAGTTCCAATCTTGCCGTAAGTACCCACACTATCTCTTCTCCTTCCCCACCTCAAACGTCGTCGCGTCCTCTTCCTGCTTCAAATCTTTCCACTACGCGTTTGTTCTTTATGCCCTGAAGGAAACGGCGTCGTTGCTGAATAATGAAAAGCCATCTTTGGGCTCTAATTTGGCAAACCATTACCGCGCCAAGGAAAAGGAGAAATGAATATCTAACAAAGAACCGATCTTTTTGACGCGAAATTTCAATTAGTTACGGACAAATTAAATTAGACCTTTTTCTATTTTTATTCCGAATAATTCGAAAACACTTTTAAGTACCTAAGATAAAGGATATCTAAACGAGTGAACCTAAATGTATACATGAGATATCCTCCAACCGGTTTAACAAGAAGAATATTTTTAGCCCATATAAGACACAATGGACCATCCGGTGGAACATAACGTCAAACGTTCGCTTTGGTGGGTGATACCGTGTCAAAGGTACGTTTTCGCGTCGAATAACGACTCTCGTAAAGATTCCCCGGTCGCCTTCCCCTAGAAACGACCAACGTAAACGACCAGTTTAAAACGGCCAAGTTCACGGAAACGACGGCGTTGCCAGCTTTAGTTAACACGGATACTACAATATTTATGGTTCCCGTGCGAACGGACCAACGTGTATTCGTCCAGATGGGAATTTTCCTTCGATACTAAAGCACGGCTTGAAAGTACCCATAAATGTTTTGGCGAAGGCGCCGGAAACTGTTAAAGATATGTTAAGGCTCTTTTTTTCAATTTCACAACAATAGAAAAAAATACACATTGTTTTATATCAAAATTTTTTATAAAGGTCACAAAAATGTATTAAAACTTAAAGTATAACAAAAAATCATTTTATCTACGACTGCTATTATAAGTCATCATTACCGCACTCATTTGAGGTGATTTGACTTACGTAATGAAGCTCATTACCGCACTGGTTTCATTACGTAACGCATTTTTAGCCTAATCAGAACACACTTAACTCGTGTGATTACACGACTCAATCTACGACGTGTATCGTGTTTCTAGCCCACTTGTAATATAATAGTATATTAAAAAACAAGTTTCGTAAGGCACGCTTGAAATGCACGAATTCAAGTTGAAAAACGAGTGGCGAAGTCACGAGTTTTTTAATGAATGAATGCTTTAAGTCTTATGAAACGTGTTTTTTATGCTATTTTTTGTAATTCGCAATTGACAATTAGAAACTGTCAAAACACAAAATATATTCACCTGAAAACAATTTTTGATGTATACCTCCCAAAATAAGAGAAATTGCTCAGAGTCAATGTCCTCATCTTTGTGGACTTTGTATTCGATGCTAAGAACGTGTTTAAACATCCATAGATAAAAATTGTCACATTGACAACTAGAAAAATTAATGATCCAATGTCACCAACTTGAACTGGTTCCATAAAATGTTACTAAAATCTCATTACAGCATCGGATGCTGTAAGGAGTCTCATTACAGCACCCGTTTGAGTACTGTTATAGCTTCCATTACCGTAGCGAATTACAAAAATAACTATTACACTCATCATTTATTATGATTCTAGAACTTATTTTATATCAATATTTTTCAAAAATATTAATAATAATAATCACTTTATTCGAACAATTTTATAATAACCTCTGTCCCAAATTATGGTACACATTTGTCTAAAATTTATGGATTAAGGAAAGCTTGGAGAATTATCAAGTTGCTATCCATTTAATATAATCTACATGCGGCCTTTCTAATAAAGTATAAGGCGGCTATGTTTAAAAATAGTTCAGTTGTTACGCATGCGTCAGTTGAGAAATGTCAATTTTTCCGACAATTACAAGATACCCGTTGTGTCAAAACTATGGGACATATTTGTTACGAAATGTACAAAAGAGACGTAAAGATGACGCAACTCTAACGTATGAACAGCGTACTGGAATTTTAGCGTTCTTGTTACAACACAAAACCGATAGCAAATTGAAGCGCGGTATCATTAGTCAAACTGCAAGCAAGTTTAATGTTTCCCGACCAACTGTTACGCGTATTTGGAATAGGACGAAGGAACAGTACAGCGAAGAAAATATTTCTGTCAATGTGACTTCTAGAAAAAGGTATTGTGGCCGAAAACGCAAGAATGACTCGGAGAATTTGGATAAAAGCAAAGAAACTCCACTTAATCGCCATGACATAATTCGGAGTTTATTGTTTGCAATTAACATACCAAAATCGACCGTTTTTCACATTTTTAAAGAGGGACGATACTTTAAAGGAATATCCTCAACAGTAAAGCCACTATTAACGGACTGTAACAAAAGAAGAACGAGACTAGAGTTCTATTTGTCGAAGGTTAAATCAAATTGATGTTTTGGGAATATGTACAACTACGTACATATAGACAAAAAGTGGTTTTACTTATCGCAAGGTAAAAGGTCATACGCTAGACGAAGTGAAACCAAACAGGCACTGTAAAAGCAAACGGTTCATAACTAAAGTTATGTTGACGGCTACTGTGGCCAGACCACGCTATGACAGTGCCAGAAAACAGTATTTGAACGACAAAATAGGACTCTGGCCTTTTGTTTATACAGAATCTGCAAAAAGGAACAGCAAGAACCGGGCAAGAGGAACAAATGGTGACGAAAAACATCGAGTCTATTAACGCAGCAGAATGCAAAAAGATGATTATCGATACCGTTTTACCAGCCATTAGATCCAAATTCCCAAAAGCGCATAAAGCCAAGATAATTTTTGTTCAACAAGATAATGCAAAACAGCATTCTTTTGAAAACGATGCAGAATTGCTGGCCGAAGGATCAAGAGTTGTATTAAATTCAAATCACAGCTACCGAATAGTCCTGATTTGAATGTTTCAGACTTTGACTTTTTCAATGCTATTCAGTCTTTGCAGCACCAAACATCGCCGAAAACTATGGATGAATTAATTGATCGTGTTGAAAGTGCCTTCGACGCATTAACTAAACAAAAATTAGATAATGTATTTTGACACTACAAATTGCATGGTCAACTATAAAATTGATTACATGAATGAAGAAAAGCTTCGCCTAGAAGGGCGTTTACCTGTTTCTATTATGTGCAATCAAACTGCCATTGAAACAGCTGAACTGTGTTTAAATGTGTAAAATTTTCATTAATGTATGTTTAAATTAAGTTTTAAACAAATTGAATTACTAATTTTGCAAATATAGTAAAGCAGTTTTCAAAGTTTTGTACATACCATAATTTGGGAGAAATTGTAAAGAGAAATGTATACCATAATTTGGGACAGAGGGAGTAATATATAAATAATATACCACATTAGATACAAGAAGGATTTAAAAATATATACAGGTGTCCCGAAACTCAACGTCAATCGGGTATCAGGCGAAAGACCAAACTATACCTGTTCTGGTAAAAATTACCTGTTCGCAATTTAATGGTGATTTTTTTAATAATGTATTCCTTATGACCCATGCTACTATAGAAGTCACAAATCAAACAACAAAAGTCGTTAGTTTTACAAAAAAAATATTAGTTTGATTGAGTTAAGGTTGAAAGAATTTGTCTTTATTTGACACACGATTTCTAAAAAAAGACACCCTTGGCAAGTTATTTTAAAAGATGCCCTGTTTAGTCAAGCTTCCAAAATGGACAAACGAGATAATGAGCTTTCTCTGTGGATATTGAGTGGCACATCTTCTAACGAAGTTACTTAATTATATTGGAGGAAATACAACTAACGCGTTTTTTTGCAGAAAAAACTAAACAGGCATCTTTTAAAATAACTTGCCAAGGGTGTTATACTACCCCTTTTTTAGAAATTGTGTGCCAAACTTAATAGACATAAATTCTTTCAATCTTAGCTAATATTTTCTTTTTGCAAAACTAACGACTTTTGTTGTTTGATTTGTGACTTTTATAGTAGGATAGTTCATAAGGAATACATTATTAAAAAAATCAATATTAAATTGGGAATATTTCTGACCGTAGTACCAAAAGATATAATTTACGGGAACGATTTTTAATATTTTCAAGATATGGAATTTTTGTCTTATTTTTACGAGTACAGGTATGGGTTGGCCTCTCACCCGGTGCCCGCTTAACGTTGAGTTTCGGGACACTCTGTATATAGAAAAATAAAATATTATAAAAGCAGTTTTTTCATGGACAACAAACAACCGCGACCTGACAACCGCTATTTGATTTTAAAAACGCATTCCGTTTGCTATCGGCAGCTATGCCATGATTAATTTGGACCTATGTTGCGATATGCATGGAAAAAGCCGAAGTATTTTTGTTATAAAGATGACGACAGTTTTGAAAACGTCGATGTAACGAACTTGCTATTAGAACACAGCGCAACAGCCATTCTGGGGGGTGAAAAATTTTAAGTCAGGGTGAAAGTACTAGGTCAATATAGTAAAACTGCCAAGGGTTTGGCGTTCTCAGCCCAAACTTTTTTTTTATGACCATTTATATTTCTTTCCTTATCTTTTTGTTTGTTTGCCTAATTTTTCAGTTATAACGCAAGAATCATTAATGATTTCTCATTTCATTCTTCAGCAAAGACTAAGTCTAGTTAGCTTAGCTAAATAAGTTTCATTAATATATCCATGTAAAAAATTAAGTTGGACTAATTTTATCGACTGAAATCTTCAAAAAATTGTCAAATTTCGGAAAAAAAAATTCTCTTTGAAAAATAACGTCTTTACTCGAGAGTTCTACGAATTGTAACTATAAAAGAGTATTCTAATATAAGTATACAGTAAAATAGTAGTACTATGTTAGAAAGAGAGAACAATACTTATTTGGAATATAAAAATAATAACTATAACAAATACAAATAAATAAAAAAAAATACATACATAAAACAAATATAAGATAAGTCCAAAAGGGCTATAGACCTGAGTCTTCCTGCCCGAAGAGTATTGATTTTATGAAAATTAACAAAAATTAAGGACAAACAAAGTTTAAAGAAGAACAAAGTTTATATGTTTATATCATTGCTCTAGACTCTAGGCCTTTTCGATGGTGATTGTTCAGGGCCAGTGTCATCGCTATCGCAATCATCGCTGTCATCAGTTTCTAAGCCACACATAATGTCAACTTGTGACTCCATTGCTGACCCTACTACAACTTCTTCAAATTCTTCTTTATTTGTTTTGAATGATGAAAAAACTTCTGCATATTGCTCGGATGTAGGAAAATTGATGTACGCAATGGAAATAAAATATGAAGCAGATGACTGGAGATTATTTATTGACAGTTCAAAACTCGAAAGTGGTTTTGCTGCATAAGACCAATGAAAAACCTTCGGTTCCAATAGCGTATAGTACAGTACGAAAGAAACATACGATGCACTAGAACATAATATATTTTAAAAATGGTTAACTACGCTAAACATATGCTGCGATTTAAAAGTTGTAGCATTGCTTTGCGATCTTTGAAGCGGCTATGTAAAATATGTGCTTTTTGTGCGATTGGGACACAAGATGTACCGGAGACCAATATGCATGCCACGAATGGAAACATAGAGAGCACAGCAGGTTAGAAATGGCCAATGTTATTCGTGAACCTCTGGTGCCGAAAGGGAAGATATTGCTGCCTCCACTACACATTAAATTTGGAATTATTAAGAATTTCATCAAAACGGTCGCCAACCGAGATACAGTTTTCTTGTGTTTGAAATTAATTTACCCGAGACTCAGCGAAAGTAAAATTAAAGAAGGTAGTTATGATAACGTTCATTTGTTCAATTTCGTGGAAAATTCCAACTTTTCCCAACATATTTCTCATGACTTTCTATCGCAAGAAATTCATTTTTTCCATCAGGCGTATAATGTCCAGATATACGAAAGCTTATTAAAAGTGACGCTCAACAATATTTTGATTGACGCTGAATTGGATGCTTGGAAGGCAATTAAAGAAGTAATAGAAGGCTTGTTGGGAAAGCATCGTTTTAACAACTGCGATGTTTCTGTCGCAAGGATGTTAACATCGTTCTCGAAAATTGGCGTCCACATGTCCTTGAAAATTCACTATATACATCATCATCTGGACTACTTCAGCAGACAATCACCCCGAACAATCACCATCGAAAAGGCCTAGACTCTAGAGTCTTTAAACTTTGTTTGTCCTTAATTTTTGTTAATTTTCATAAAATCAATACTCTTCGGGCAGGAAGACTCAGGACTTATCTCATATTTGTTTTATATATGTATTTTTTTTTATTTATTCGTATTTGTTATAGTTATTATTTTTATATTCCAAATAAACATTGTTCTCTCTCTCTAATATAGTACTACTATATTACTATATATTCATATTAGAATACTCTTTTATAGTTACAATTCGTAGAACTCTCGAGTAAAGATGTTATTTTTTAAAGAGAATTTTTTTTTCCGATATTTGACAATTTTTTGAAAATTTCAGTCGATACAATTAGTCCAACTTAATGTTTTACATGGATATATTAATGAATATTATTTATTGAAGCCTTAGCTAAGCCTTATTCCTAGCTGAAGAATGAAATGAGAAAACATCAATGATTCTTGAGTTATAACTGAAAAGCTAGGCAAACTAACATAAAGATAAGGAAAAAGGTCATAAAAAAAAGTTTGAGCTGAGAACGCCAAACCCTTTGGGTATTTTACTATAGTGGCCAAGTACTTTCATCCTGACTTGGAATTTCTCACACCCCAGACAATGACCCCGCAAATGTTCCACAGTGTAATCTGCCTTTATTGTTCAAATTTCTTGTGTTATACATGTTTTATCGAAAACCCCTATTTAAACTGTTAAATATTGTTGTTTTTTCTTTTTATTTATTTATTTATTTTTTTTATATGTGTATTATTTCTAATTGTTAATTTCTGCTAATAAACCTATCCCTTTCTTCATTGTTATATTAAAAATCCATATAACGACTCGGTTATTTAATGGGCGCAGTTTTGATTATTTCTGCAAAAAAAAAGAGGAGGAGGTGACCGCTGAAAAAAAAGGGGGGTTGAATTGTTTCATTTGAAATGTAGGCGAAAAAAGTTATACAGTTTTTACCTCGAATTTTTTGTGTTCATCCAAAACCCTCTCTTGTAAGCATAAAACTTTCGTATTTAACCGTGCGGAAAACAATTTTTGGCCAGAATTGGATGAGCTTGACATCAGTAATGTGTGGTTTCAACAAGATGGTGCAACATGCCACACAGCTGGTTCAACAATTGATCCATTAAAGAGGAAATTGTGATCTCGAGAAATGATCTGATCGAATTTAACGCCGTTAAGTTCCTTTTTATGGGGTTATGTTAAGTCGTCGGTTTATGGCAATAAGCCAACAACGTTAGAGGAGTTCAGGGACAATATCGAACACGAAATTACCAACGTTACGGCCAATATGTGTTAAGAAAACATAATATGAGCACTACACTTCGAAGAAATTTTAGCCTAATGTCGCAATTATTTTGCTTTATTAAATTTAAAATTGCTATGTCCTTATTGAAAAACCCGACGCATACCTAATGGTAAAACCCAAATTTTTACTCGGTTTCGATACTTTCTCTGTACATGCTTCATATACACAAGCTATTTTGTGTTAAACAATATAGAAAACACAGAAAGAAAAGTTTTAGTATGCTTAAATTGAAATTCTTATAACAAAATGAAATTTATTGCTTAAAAGAAACAATACTTTTTGCCGACACATTCCATAATAAGTAAATATATTTTTTAATTGACAATATCTTTTAATGTTTTTACTGATTATTTTCGTTGTTTCACAATAATGCTTATGATATAAAAACAAATATTTTTTTGATGTATAAAATTTCATGTTTTAGGTGTATTGAATACATAAAAATACGTCATTTTATGAGCAAATCCACTCTCGCAAAGGAACGCAATTTTAAATATTACCGCTATATATCTTTTCTTTTGCTTACTGAACGCAGGTCGTTTATGAAAATCCACGACGTGTTATGAGTTTTCCGTTAGTAGTATTTATACGGTCGTTTATTAAAAGAAATGAAAATTCTGAAAGATGATATTTTTGTGTAACAGTCAAAAGAAATGCTTTTTATGCTTTTTATTGCGAACGTTAGACATTATTAATTAATAAATGTTTCTACTTTAGTTGTTATAACCGTTTCCAAGATCAGTTAAGTAACTTTGATAGGACTTTATTAGTAGTTCGTACACGTTGAAAAGACAACTATTTCTCGGTAGCAGTAACTAGATAATTAGTCGCTTTTATAACCAAACTTTAGAGCCTCGTTAAGGACACGTTACAGGGAACGACTCCCCCAAATTCCATCGTTCCCTCGTCCGTGATTCCCTTTGTGTATTTTAAAGTGGCACATTATGCATGAATTAATTATTATGGCGAAATCGTGAGCAACATATTCCCTATGAGAAACCCATTAAAATTTCTATTTTCAAATTTAATACGAGATTACAATTAATTACGAAATTAAATCAAAATTGCAATAATATAATATTAAAAATTTTAATTATATTAATTACTGAATCCGTATAAACTATTTATAACAAATCAAAATAATTTCATTTAAAAGCTTTCATAACAACACTAATGCATTCGTTATAAAATCAGAAATCATATGTAAATTAAATAAAAATTGTTATATCCTCGTAATTTGATTAACGTTAACTTAATTAATCAATTTTGTTGAATACCGTAATTTTGTATATTACTGTGCGTGCTGTACTTTTCGTTGCTTTGAACGTAAACCACTTGAATGGAATGCGGGGGGAACAATTTAGTACCTTGTTAGCTAAAATATACATATATTTCCGCTAAAGACGTTGTTAATTGGATCTTAATTATAAATTAATTTTCTATTGTTTCAGCTCCACCTGATTGTGAACCAAACCAGATTATGTGTCGACAGTACATATTTAATAAACCTTATTGTTTACCACCACACTATAGATGTGACGGAACAGTTGATTGTATTGATGGATCTGATGAAACAGAATGTAGTAAGTAATTTTTGAATTTTTAATATATTTCTGTAGTTATTTTAAGTATTCTACATTAATAAATAGTAATAAGTAGCCCGATTTATCTTGGATATACGTACTCTCTGCAACATATATTCGTCAATCTATACGGCTTCAACCTGAATACATGCTATATCATCTTCAGGATTCGTAACTTGTTCGAGGTAAACCTGTTCTTTCAAATAGCCCCAAGAGCGGAAATCCAGTGAGCTCAAATCTGTGGATCTAGGAACCCATAGTGTAGGTAGACCTCTTCCAATCTATCATTCACATTTAAGTTTAGGATATTTCTAACGGGTAGTGCATAATGTGAATATATTTGCTAATATAAGTTCGAATTAAATCAGTAAGGTAGAATCTGTGGACCAACGACTTTGTTATTTAATATCCCGCCCAATAGTGTGGATATAAATAACAAATATATCCCGCACAAAAAGGTGGTTATTGACCACCTTTTTTGGTATGACCTTTTGCGCGTTAAGTGAAGCTACAAGATGGCGATAAAGTACGCATTGTGTTTACTTAATATTACTCGTCAAGACGATTATATGTCTTGTAGGGAAAATTGTAACGATAATTTCCATACTTCCTGTATTAAAATCTCACCGGAGCAATTTTCAAAACTTAAAGAAGCCGGGAAATTGAAAATGTGGACCTGCAACAACTGTAAGAAAAATGACCTAACCGTAAATCCACAAATGAAGTTGAACTCTATGGATGATATTGCCGATTTAATCTCACTAAAATTGACGAAAATAATTTCGTAAAAAACAAGTACTCTGAAGTAGTAATAAAAAATCAAAACAAAAATAAAAAATTTACACGAGGTAATGACTTGGAACAAAATAATTTTGTAGAAATTAAATCTACCAAAAAACGCACTTCCAATACAATAATGGGAGCTGCAATTAATACAACTCCAAAGGTGCCCAAAAATATCATCATTTCCATGTCTACCGTTTATATCCAAATACATCTACAGAATATGTAGTAAATCATTTAAAAACCCAAGGCTTAATTGATATAAAATGTGAAAAAATGAATGCTAAATACCTTTACGAGTATGCTTCATTTAAAGTATCTGTATTAGAGGACCAATATGAAAAGATTGAAAATGCTACGACGTGGCCAAGTGGAGTTCGAGTGAACCATTTTTTATTCCGAGTTCCGATGATTCAAAAACAGACTACTTAATTAATGATAGTTTTAATAATCGTACACAAATAGAACAAGAGAGCACAATTTGGAATAATAAACGAAACAAAACGTTTTCAGTAAGCTAACAAAGTAATGTTCAAAAATTTACACTTATACACAACAATATTCAAAGCTTAAGAAATAAAATTTATGATCTTTTGATTCTTATTGACAGTCTAGATGGTGAGGTGAATGCAATTTCACTCTCCGAACATTGGTTAAAATCAAATGAACCTGTATTTATAGATGGTTTCCATGTTGCACCCTTATTTACTAGAACTAAGAAATCCCATGTTGGTTCCTGTATTTTATTGCAGAAAGGATGCAGAAAGTATCGAGTCAATTATAGAGTGTAGTGCTGTAAAATTAAGCAAAATGAAAATGATAGTGATTAACATTTATTCTCCTCGGAACAAATTTAGAACGGAGTTGGATGTACTCTTTCAGTCACTGGACTCAGTCAGTCTATTTTGGATGAGGTACAAATGAACTACACAATCTTAGTCAGTGGAGATTTTAACATTGATTTGAAGAAAATCAGCAAAAAGTCTAAACAAATGTTAGATATATTCAAAGCACACAATCTTGCGGCCACTGTAAATGATCCTACCAGAGTTACTAAAACGACCAGTACACTGATAGATAGTATTTTTACTAATGTTCTTTTATGTGGAAGTGACATTATTCATTCAAACTTATCAGATTATAACTCTCAAAGAGTAATCATAGAAACTCATAGTGCAATAAATGATTCGCCATATATTAAAAAGAAAATATTTACGAAACACAAGCTAGATTTAATAAGTCAATATCTGGAAGTGACAGATTGAAATCAAGTCTACCGATCAGTTGATTCCACGAAATGTCACAATTTATTTGTTGGGAAACTTAATTCCATAATTCATCAGATTGTGAAAGTAAAAAAGATAAATGTTAGTGAAAATAAGTGGATTACTCAAGAAATAAGAACACTATCAGCAATAAAAAGACAGATGTACGAAAACCACAAGAATAAAAAAATTGATAAAGAAACGTACGACAATTTTTGTAAATTATTAAAGGGTGAAATTGAAACTACTAAAAAACAGTTGAATGCAGATTACATTATTAATTCTAATAATAAAACAAGAACGTCTTGGTAACTAATAAACCGCCTTCAAGGTAAAGCTACCACAAGTGGTAGAAAGCCAGCAGATTTTGAAGCTACAAATAAGCATTCTGACGGAAATAAATGACTATTTTATAAAGATTTGTCAAAGTATTGATAACAATGTTAGTCACCACCTAAATATTCACTATAAACCGTCAGTGAGCCACACTTTCTCATTATACTTAACGGACGAAATTGAAGTCCTACATATAATAAATAATTTAAATAACACAACGGCAACGGGTGAAGATGAAATACCTACGAGCGTGCTAGAGCATTCTGCAAAGTACTTGGTTAAACCGCTAACGCATTTAATAAACACATCCTTCACTGACGGCCGTTTTCCGGATGAGGTGAAAAAGACAGTAATAATCCCAATCTATAAAAAAGGAGACAAGTCCTGCTATGATAACTATCGTTCAATAGCACTCACATTGAATCTTATAATAATTTATGAGAACCACAACAGAATTATAAAGTATTTAAACAAATATAATATATTGCATGAGAATCAAAATAGTTTTCGGAAGATAAGATCCACCGAACTTGCGATGTTTCAACTGTTAGAAAATATTATCTTGGGATTAAATGGAAAACAGGCCACAACAACATTGTTCATGGATCTTACAAAAGCCTTTGATAGTGTACATCATTCAATCCTTTTGACCAAGTTGGAGTGACTTGGCTTTAGAGATGTTAGCATGTCATGGCTGAAATCCTATCTATCAGGGAGGTTACAATGTGTAAGTGCCCACAGTGAACATGGAACAGAAATAAGATCAGCTTGAAAGGAAGTCAAGCTGGAAGTACCTCAGGGTTCCATATTGGGTCTTCTATTGTTCATGCTGTATGTGAATGACTTACCACGTGTAACGAACAACATTACGATAATGTTTGCGGATGACACAACGGCCATGGCGAGGTGTAGCACTAATTACGAAATCCAGAAATCGCTTACTGTGGATCTGAATAAACTTACGGATTGGTTTGAAGCGCACAACATAAAAAAAAACGAAGATTGTTAACTATCACTTATGCTCTGACCAGATCAAGGCTATGTATCGGGATACTGAGATTGCCAGTGTTGAAGAAATTTCGTATCTGGGTTGGAAAATGGATCCTGGACTGTCTTGGACCAATAATATTGATTTCCTTGCTGGCAAGATCAGTCATTTCTCATATGCCATTCGGATTATTTCCAGATCAGCTGGCATTGAAGCAGCATTAAATGCCTATTATGCATATGTTCATTCCTTGCTAACATATGTCTTTTGGTTCCGTGGTGTTGGTATAGATAGAATCTTCATACTACAGAAGAGGTGTGTAGGAGCAATCTTTGGTCTAAAAAATACTGATAGCTGTAGAAGTTACTTTAAAGACTATAAAATACCTACCTTGTATGGAATTTATATTCTGGAATGTGCCGTATTGGTTAGGAAGAATTACTATGAATTTTTCAAAAAATATGAAATATCATATCCTCGAGATACACGCGGGAAGGTGAACTGCTATCTGGTGCCACCAAAAACGCACCTTACTAAGATTCTGCTCTGTACCAGAATATCAAGATCTACGATCACATTTCGGAGGGTACAAGGATCCTGCTAGTTCCAAGATTCCGGAGAAGACTGAGAGTTATTGTCACGAAAAATCCGTATTATTTTATTATACTCTACGCTTTTTTGGTAAAATGGAGTAATAAAGTATTATTATTATTATTAAGTGGATGAATCGCTTTAGAAATTTTTGAAAATCGATATTTTTAGTTTAAACTGCACATTAAAATCATAAAAATCGTATGAGATTTCATGCACGGAAAAAATGTGTAAGTGCTCGAATTTTGATCGCAGTATTGTTGTTATCCAGAATATAGTAGTTGCTCTACTACTATACAAGTAGTATTGAAGGTCATAGTGGAAATAAACAAACATAAAAAATTGTACTAGTAGATGATATTGAGTTGAACTATTTAAGAAAACGCCTTTGATTTTGTATTAAGTTTTGTATTTATATAGTTCTTACTATCGCTCATATCAATTAAATTGCTCAATGAGTGAAGATAAAGTAAACAAGGTAAAACATCGAATGCTAGTGGTAAACGACCGTTGAATCGTCACGAGATGGAAACTCCAGACGATTTGAATGTAAGCTTCAGCAAAACAACTTTAAACTTTCTCAAGAGCTGCATAATGTGAAAATCGAAGAGCCTTTCGGCTATGGTATATCTGCAACTAATTTTGTTGCAGTTTTTTCAGCAATTTCCAATATTGTGGTGTGCAAAATGTGAAAATTGCGATAAAAAGGAACTAACGAATTGCCCGTTGATAAATAAAGACTATGAAATAAACCGGCGCATCGTACTCATAATACGATTGCTCGGAGTTGGCTTGCACGCGGTAATAAAATTTTGTGAACATACAACATACACTTAATAAAACTGTTTTCCATGATAGTAGTTTAAATACTGCAAAAAAGGAAAACCCTTATCAGTTGAAAAAGGATAAAAAATTGAAATCACTGTATCAGACGATGGGACATGACGAAAGCGTCAGTTTTTATCCTTGTACAGCTTAGTCACTTTAATTGGATGTGATGTCCGGAAAATTGTGGATTATGCAGTAAAATTGAAATATTGCAAGGCTTATTCGCTAGCGTGGAACAAAAAAATACACACCGAAGAATATGCAAATTGGGCAGAAATTCATGCGAGTGAGTGTGGAACAAATCTCGAGGGATCAACCGGAAAAATGGACTAGGATGCCAGTAATTGAAACCTTCAACGGCTTCACAGAAGCTAAGCCGCATGAGAATTTCACGATAAAAAAGAATGCGTAAATCACGTGCAGAAACGGATGGTTACTCGCTTGTGCAATTTGAAAGAACAAACAAATGGTCTTGGTGGAAAAGAAAAGTAGACTGGGAAGCTGATCAATGAACTTTCAAGTTATTACAACTTAGCGACAAGCTACCAAATGAAAGCTATCAATACCCTAGAATATTTTTCTTATAAACCAGCTCTTAATTTTCAAGTATTCGCAACAATCAAATTAGTATATGAAAACTTTAGTAGTGGCGATCTTCTCACTCGGTTTGTAGGCAGAGGTATTCAAAGCAATAATGAGTCCTTCAATGCCACTGTCTGGGCATTAGCTCCCCAATATATTCATAGATGTAAATCAATACTTGATGTAGAGAGATTAATTATGCAAATATTGTACACTATGGGCATGTTTTTCGGTACTTATCACTTTAAATACGTTTTCTTGAATTAATAAATTTCAAGTTGGATGAAGATGTTATCGTACTATATCGAAACTTGTATGGTGCACGACAATGTCTTTAAAATTGAATGAGTTATGGGTTCGGCCACATAGCTATAAAAACAAAAACGAAACAGTAATTTTTCTGTAACAATATAAAACAACAATCTAACAAATAACAAATGTTAGCATTTTTTAGCAAATTTCAGTATGTTGTCTAGTTTTCATATCTCCATTAATGCAGTTTATGAGTAATTAGGATACCTGTTAGAGTAAATATGGATTCATTACTCCAGAGAATGTTTTCAATAAAATGTGATTCATTATTTACGGAATGTATTAACCATCTACAAAACCTCACTTGAATCTCTTTGTCTCCATCATGTAGGGCTTAAACTTTATGGGATCTAATTGAATACACTATTCCTCTTTAGTAATCTATGAATTATGCAAATCGAAGATTTACACTTGACACTATCTCAACAAATTCATGAATTTGTTCTTCTTCATCGATGTTAGCAGGATAACGTCCTCCTTTATTTTTTCAGAATTTTAATTTATCTGTTTTTAACTAACCTTTGTTTTAATGGAGTTGGAAATTTTTTTGCCTCGAAGCCTCTTAGCAAGCATTTCTAGACTCAAGCATATCTCTGTCCTTCTCGTTCACCCATCTTGCTCTCTCGAGGTACCCATAGGTTATCGCTCCTTGCATACTGCTCTTAAGCAGTTGCTTCGGTATCCTTCCCTCCTTCATCCTTTCCACATGTCCTGCTCATTACAATTTCTGGATCTTGATGTACTCTGAGATGTTGCCTCCTTGTAGTAGCCGTAGAGTAAGTTTGGGTAATATGTCAACTTGTTTTTTGGTCGTCGATAACTTCATAGCTTTTACATGCTGTGATAAAACAATGCTTATAAGCCATTCTTTAGGCTTTTAGGCAAATGCAGTAGATCATCTCTCCAGGCTAAATTGACTATAGATTCAATAGGAATTAAATTAACAGGAAAAGTCAAATTGCTATATTCCCCTTACAGTTGAGTAATATGGCAACATATGTTGGGGAATACGATTTTTGTTGAAATAAAACTATTTTTTAGATCTGTGTTTCAATATATTCTTTATATACTTTGGCATACCCCTATTCAAATTAGATCAAAAAGATTTAGAACTGCTTTCATCGCCACATATAACCTCACGAGGAAGATTTTCTTAAGGGTACTTATCTTTATACTGACTTTACCTACTAAAAACTTGAAAAATTTGATTTGTGGACGTGCTTGCCTCCTTACTAACGTTTTGGTGCTAACTCCAACATCTAGTGTCGATTTAGACGAAACTTACTCAACTGCGGCGTATTTCCCAGCGCGGCATATATATATTTCCCCACTTTCGTCTGCAATCCTTTTTGGGATCTTACTTTCGAAGACTTCTATACTGTTTGGAGTTGCTGAGTTAGCGTCTAGGACTTACAGCCATATGTCATTATAGGCTTTAAAATTATTTTATCTCCATCATTACTTTCGTTTTCTCTATATTTGTTCTCAACCCCACCGACTTCACCACGTCCTTCATTTATGTGTAAGTTTATTCTACATCCCTTATTGTTCAGCTAAACTGTTAATGTTGTCTGCATAGACTACGAACAACAGCATAACGTAATGATTTGTTATACATTGTAAACCAAATTTGTGAACCTATACATTGTATTGTTACAGCGACTAGTTGTCCTATGGTGGATCTTCCTCTCCGAAATTCTGCTTGATATTGTCTTATTATTTTTTCTGTATACTCCTGCAGTCGCTAATTTAGTATGTATATAAATATTTTATATTAATTACTTAAGAGGTAGGTAAGAGTAGGTTGTGTATATTTCACGGTGATCTTAAAAGATAAGTTTTCAACCTTCTTTTAAATAGAGCATATTGTAGACTTGTTCCTCTGATATCCTTTCGAGTAGGTTATATAGCCTGTTGACCAAAAAAGTGTTGGTAGTCTTTTATAACATGCGAAGAAACGGTGTCAATCCCTGGCGCTTTTCCGAGTTTTAAAGCCTTATTCCTTAACATTCCTTATTCCATCAATACTTGGCGGTGAAATTGGGAGACCACTATAGGCTTCTTCTTTTTGTTGCTGCCATGGCTGATCTTCACTATTTTCCAAGTTTAGAAAGTTTTTAAAGTAATATTCCTAAGTACTCTTTATTTCAAGTCCTCTTCCATGTTCAAAAGTTGGTGATTTTCATACCTTCTCTACAGGTCCTTCTTTCGCCTACTTCTGTCCATGGGTCTCATCGTCTCATTGAATGCTTCCTCCTGTGTATGTCTCTATCTACATTCTATATATTTTGGTCCTCTTTCGAATACTTTCCTCACACTCACTGTCGAATCATGACGCCTCTTCGAACCTTCTGCGATTCCGAACAATTCCTTCGTCGCCCCCACCATCATTGTCCTCATTCCATGCCATTTTCCATCCAGCAATCGTTTCATATCGCCTTCCTCTTGTAATCTTCTTTTTATTTCCTTCTTCAGTTACTCTTGTATAATGGATTTCTGTTGTTGTATTTTGCTAGTAATTCTGCACCTAAATTTCTCTTGAACCAGATAGTGTTCAGAGACATAGCAGATCCTCATATTAGTAGGTGTTCTATTTCATGATGTTATATTCCAATTTGGTGACTCTATGGGGGAAACATATTGAGCTTATTGCACCCACCTAATACTTTTAAGATATTAACGTAATCTTGATTACAATGGAGTCGTTCCATTTGAAGTACACAACACTAAAGGCAATGATACTTGATCACTATGATCATCAGCCGATGACAAAACGATTTCAATATGACAGATTTGGTTATACTATATTTGGGTTGTTTAAAGATACTCTTAGGAATACAAAATAAAGGGCAATTTTTTATGAATACTCGATAACAAAGACAATCAATTTTGATTTGGTTGAAATCATTGAATCAAATTTTGACAGGAATTTTAAGATGCTCTGTATATTGTAATCTATGTATGTCAATTATCAATTCATTTTAAATTAAGTTTATTTTATTACTATCATAATTTAGTTAATAAGTTTCATTCGATGAAGAGAAAATATTAGATTACAATTAATTTATAACATCAAAGATAATTAAATTTTTTATTGAAGTTGCCAAATCCTTTTACTTAAATAAAGTTTTAAATAAATAGATTTGCCATTACGGTTTCCTCAAAGAATCTTCACAAACGATACCAATTTTGAAGTCACCTGGCGTCTTTCGAATCGAAAACAGTTCCAATTTCCAGTAAACGCTTAGGGGACCGCGTTACCAACGGAAACTAATGACGTTTCTCGAACATTCTCAATTTCCGGCGGTAGGAGGTAGGATAAGAGGCAAGCGGAAAACCGTTTGGAAATTTCGCGATTGGAATCGGCATCATCGGAACTTTGCCTCGTCAGATCGCAACCCTTTGGTAATTAAGCCGCCACCCTTTTCCATTAGAAAGTACAGAACAGACACCCATTATGCATGTACAATTTTCGTCGACGTTCCGTAATTATATTCTTCGCGTTCAGTTCAATTAAGATGACTGTATTCGGCAAAAAATAGAGCGGAGCCATTTCATCGTTTCCCCGGAGGACCGTTGCAATTTTCCTCGACAAAATTAAAGGATTATTTCAAAATATAATAGACGTTGGTGGATCGTTCTAAATTAAATTGACACTAAAGAAAGTTGGAATTTTTCTGGTACTTTTTGGGCTAGAATATTTTGATAGTTTACTAAATTTTATAAAGAAAGGTATCCTCGACAACGTTAGAAGTTGAATAGATTTCCCTTGTGTATTCAAATAAAAATAGAGAAAAACGAAGCATCGTGGGTTTGACAACTTTCTATGTTGAATATCTGTGTTGGAAAACTTTAAAAATTCAAACGATATAAAAATAATATATAAAAATAACATTATTCTTAGTTAATAAATAGTTTTAAATACGTTATCAATTTATTTCAGTTTATCGTAAATGTCAGCAAGACGACTTCCGTTGTGGTCCAGGAGGAACGGGAGCCCATTCGGAACAGTGCATTCCAAAGGAAAAGCAATGCAATGGATATCTCGATTGCCGATCCGGAAAAGACGAGCAGGGATGTCCCGGAGTGGCTTGTCGTTTAGACCAATTCCGTTGCGCCAACGGCCAGAAATGTATAGATCTCTCCAAGAAGTGCGACCACACCGACGACTGTGCTGACAAATCGGACGAACAAGGCTGCAGTAAGTACAAAATCGTGTTCTCAAACTTACCCTAAAAGGATATTATTATGTCTGAGTAGTCCCAGTACACATCTATACTTTGACGATAAAAAATTTCGGTACACAGCAGAAAAGTTTTATTTAAAAAAATTTATAACTTATTATTAATATTTTAAAATTTTAGAATTCTGGATGTTCTTTCCCTTTGCGGACTTAACCAACTAAATTATCATAAAAATTCTTATTTAAACACACTTGATCTTGTTTGTAGTAATCCATTGCTTCCTGAGGACAGTGCGCACTCCACTCTAGAGTTTTTCTGCTGAATTCATTTTACTCGTTCATTACCTATACATCATGGTGATGCTTTTTGTTTTAGAAAAGCCCGGTTTTCTGAATTGAATGAGTACTTTAATGGGAATCAGAACTCGCTGATCGTGATATCAACGACGCTGTTCAAATTTTTTATAACTATGTTAATACTGCCATACGTGAATTTGTTCCTTTACAACGCAAAACTATCAAGGGTTTTCCCACTTGGTTTTCATATAATACCATTAAAGTAATTCGAGAGAAAAGGAGGGCGCACTGTAAATGGAAGCGTTTTGGCAACCGACTTGATTACCTCACTTTTTCAATTCTAAGGAATCGTGTAAAGTGTCTAATCCATCACAATTACATGAAGCATGTTAGAGGGCATGCTGAAAGCAACATTCAAAAGTGTTTTGGGCTTTTACTAAGTCTAAGAAGCGTGCGGATGTCATTTCTTCTACGATGTCATGAAATGGAACTGTTGTCGGCGACGGCGTCGGAGTATGCTCATTGTTCGCTGATTTCTTTTCTTCGATTTTTGTTGATCCTGCTCCGATCCAGCAGAATGTAGATTGTGGAGAAATGGATACCCTTCCTTTGAGTGAGATGCAGTTTGATAGAATTGAGGTTGAGGAGGCCCTGATGGGCGTCAGGGTTACAGACAATATTAGTACTGATGGTGATTAGTACTTTGTCCCTTCCTTTAACTATTTTATTTAATGCGTCATTAATAATGAGATCTTTCCTTCATTGTTGAAGCGGGCTTTTATTCTTCCCATTTTTAAATCTGGGGCCGTGGTGGTATATCTGATTACCGCCCCATATTTATTTTGCCAGCATTTGGGAAAGTGTTTGAGAAAGTAGTTCATGCACATCTATTCTTTGCCCTTAAATCTAAAATCAATTGTAGACAACATGTTTTGCTGGTCGCTCGGTTGAGAGTAACTTGCTTGAATATACCCAGTATATCTTATCTTCTCTGGATGATTCTTGTCAAGTTGATTCAGTTTATATGGATTTTAGTAAAGCTTTCGACCAAGTGGATCACAACTTACGTCTGTTTAAACTAATGACGTTTGGTGTTCAGGGGAAACTTTTGCAATGTCTTGCTTCCTATCTGAAGGAGAGATGCCAGATTGTTTCGGTTAATGTTTTTTTTTCTAATCCTGTATGGGTTCCTTCTAGTGTTCCACAGGGTAACCATCTTTGCTCTTTAGTGTTTAATATTTATGTTAACGACATATTTGATGTCGTTAATTATGCCCAATGTTTAATGTATGCTGACAATTTAAAACTCTTTCTCCGTATCTCCTCACCTCTTGATTGTTCTAGACTGCAATCTGACTTAACCCGTTAACTGTCTTATGAAGCGAAGCTGATGGTCTTTCGTAATGACGCAAAACATTTACCACATGCGAATATATACGTCATAAACATTAAGTGCATAATGCAGAAAAACTTTGTAATAACAATAAATAAACAAAAAGATTTGATACAGAAACATTTAATATCTACGATATATCTACAGGTAAATGAAAAGAAAAGTTTATTGTTTATCTTAATTAATATATTTAACTAAAAATAAAACATAAAAGTATATATATTAGTTATTCTTCTTATTCTTCATATACAGGGTGTTAATAAACAAACTTTACACACGCTGGCAGGTGATAGTAGAGATAAAAACAAGAAAAAAATCCTAATACACATAGGTCCAATACTCATTGGTTTTCGAGATATGGAATTTTTAAATTTTCATTGTCAGCTTTAAATTTGAATGCGATATCGCGTTACCATTAACGCGATAAAACAACAGCCGCAGAAACTGCATATCAATAAACATTTTGTGACTTATTCTTATTTAAAGCTAGCTTATTTTCGCAATGGTTCAATTTACATTTGCGGAATACGCCGATATGCAGAAAGAAATCCTAATACACATAGGTCCAATACTCATTTATTTTCCGAGATACGGCTTTTACAAAAAAAAAAATTACAACACGCAACGCATTTAGCACACTCGTTATCGCGGAGATTTTCAAACTGTCGTCCTTCCTCTTGTAAACAAAGTTGCACTCGTTGTCGAAGAGAATTACGCACTCGATTTAAAGCAGTTTGATTTCTTAGTTGCTGACAACCGACTACTATTCTCTGCCAAAGTTCATCTTCTGTATAAACTTCCGTGGCATAAACAATACCTTTTATATGTCCCCAAACAAAAAAAATCCATTGGCGTTAGATCAGGAGATCTTGGTGGCCACGCGACAGGTCCTCCACGACCAATCCATCTGTTTTCGAATCGTTCGCTTAAATAGTTTCTTACGTTTAGCGAATAGTGGGCTGGGACTCCATCATGCATAAAATACATGTTTCTAATAACGTCTAATGGCACATCTTCCAGTAACTCGTTTAAATTGTCACGCAGAAAGTTCAAGATTTGACCATTTAACCGATTCGGTAAACGAAATGGTCCAATTAAAAAATCATCCACAATGCCGGACCAGACATTTATAGAAAATCCAAATTGATGGTTTCTAACATGAGTTGCGTGCGGATTTTCATCAGACCAAACATGCATATTGTGGAAATTAAAAACTCCATCACGCGTAAAACAGGCTTCGTCTGTAAACAAAATCTTCCCAAGCAAATCTGGATTGCCATTGGCAAAATTGGATACGGGGACGGCAGTCCGTCTCTAACCGTAGATGATGAATCTTCTGTAAGTGATACGGATGAAGTAATTGTTCTTTAAGGGTCTGCCAAACAGATACAGGATTTACGCCGATAGCTCTACTTATTCGCCTGGTACTCACGTGGGGATTATTATCTACAGCTTACAAAATATTATGTTCGGTGTTTGGCGTGCGGACTGTAAGAGGTTTGCCAGTGTCTGATTTTGGCGGCTTAAAGCATCCTGTTTCTCTGATCCTACGGTCGACTTCTTGAAAGGTTGGATGAGATGGAATATGCCTCGTAGGATATCTCTGCTGGTAAATTCGTCTAGCTTCACGCGAATTTCGACGAGCTTCGCCATAACATAAACGCATATCGGCGTATTCCGCAAATCTAAATTGAACCATTGCGAAAATAAGCTAGCTTAAATAAGAATAAGTCACAAAATATTTATTGACATGCAGTTTCTGCGGCTGTTGTTTTATCGCGTTAATGGTAACGCGATATCGCATTCAAATTTAAAGCTGACAATAAAAATTTAAAAATTCCATATCTCGAAAACCAATGAGTATTGGACCTATGTGTATTAGGATTTTTTTCTTGTTTTTATCTCTACTATCACCTGCCAGCGTGTGTAAAGTTTGTTTATTAACACCCTGTATATGTAGTTATTCTTTTGTATGATATCGTCTAAAACATGGAGCCGGACAAAGACCTGTCCGACCTGTCCAGGAATGCCATCCTCACCCAGTATCTTGATTCTTTTCTTACTCCATTTTGACTACATACAACACACGTCTTCGTTGATTTTTCTTTAGTTGTAGGTGGTATTATAGCCGGAAAATGTCTTTCAATTAGACGAGAAGGTTTAGGCGTATTAGATCGTCTTATATAATTTTGTCTAGCGATAGCATTATTTTCAATCATTTGTTCAGCTAATTCTAAAATAAAACGCAACCGCTGTTTCTTTCCGCCCAATTTATATGATAACAATTCAGGGTGATTATACTATATAACAGTCGGTCAAGTCAACTCCTCCCATATTCAAATTGTAGTCAATAATAACTTTGTGTTTAGGAACTATTCGACGACTGCTTGTTTTTACTATTTACATTGAATCATCGTGAATAGTACTAACCATAGTTATATCTTTCTTATCTTTCCACTTTAAAATCATCTGTTTTCTTCTATACATAGCAATTACTTCTCCCTTTTCTAACTTTTTTTTCTTAATTTCATCTGGAATGCCTTTTCGGTTAATGTTCATTGTTCCTATACAGTCTGTTCTTCTTCTTAGCAACGTATCAGTTAGACTTGGACTGTTGTAAAAGTTATCTAAATAAATGCAATAACCTTTATCTAAAAGACTATCGGTCAGATCCAAAACAACCCTGGCACTAATTGGTTCGTTTTGATATCGAGAAATTTCATATCGTGTGGTTGCTCCGGTGTAAATAATAAAATTATAAAGGTGTCCTGTCTGACTTTCACATAGTGCAAACATTTTCATACCAAACTGTTTTCGTTTGGAAGGTATGTACTGTTTCCAACTAAGTCTTCCTTTCCAACCTATCAATGATTCATCTACAGCTATGTTCTTTTCAGGTATATACACTGTTTGAAATTTATTTTTTAGGTGACTTAAAACAGGTGATATCTTATACAGTTTTTTGTCGGGAGAATGTTCATTAAGTATATTTTTTGTTATCGGAAAAATGCAAAAATTTCAACAACAAACAAAATCTTTTTTCTGACATTATTTTTGAAAAAAATGAGGTTTCAGTGGTTCTCTTCTTGAAAAATACATGCTAATCTCCGGTTTTTCGCATATCCCTTGTAAAATTGAAAGCCCTAAGAATGTTTTTATTTCTTTAGGGTTAGTATTTTCCCAATCATTTGTTCTTGACTTGTCTTTTCTTGAGTTACCAGTGTTTTCAATAAATTGTAAAGCGTAAGGGTTAGTTTCTTCAACCAACATTGCAATGATATCTTCTGAGAAAAAGGTCTCAAAAATTTGAACAATATTGTCCTTATGTACTGTATTTATTTGTATACCAGGTTTTCCAGAGAACGGAAATGATGGACGCGGCATCCCATTATCTCTAGACCACGATACGTCTAATGGGTCTACTAAATTTGGACGCGATTCATCCTCGTCACTTTCGATATCTGATGTTTCATATTCGCTGTTCGAGGAATCTGCTTTAGAAGAATCAAACGATGTTGATGTACTTTCATCGTCGCTCTCATCCACTTTCCTCTTCGACATTTTACTATAAATATATATTTCCCATTTAATATAATTTAAAATTTCTTTTAAAATAAACGTAAAAATATATCAAAATCGGTAATTAAAAGATTATTACTTACTTACAGTAATTAATTGCTTAATTACATATACTCGCCACAACACTGATCGTGCACGTTCAAACACATCTCACTCCAACGTTTATTCAAAACGAGCTGATGAACAAACAAACTGACGCGTTTGTTTCAATGTACAGAATATCATATGCGCACGTAATCGTATTAGACATTATGTTTAGCGCAAAAAAGTAAAGTGCGAATCATAAGCATAAGCACCTAATAAGTGATTATGATACACGTATATATTCGTTTTAAACAGTTAACGGGTTAAACAGTCTACATGATTTTTCCTTATAATCGCCTTTCATTAAGCTTATCAAAGTATAATATTATTTCCTTCTCTTTTTGAACAAGTTTGATTCTCCAATGCTTGTTGGTTTTATATGTGTTCATGTTTCTCCGAGATTACTTCGCTTTCAATTTCTATTTATGACATCTACTCCTAGAAACAATGCCTGTCAAAACACTTCTTTATTGAGAATGGCAAGATCAGCAAATCGTGTTAACATAGATCTGTTTCAGCATTCTTTCTGTGCATTTAAAAAACTGCTCTTTTCTGCAGTTGGTGTGTTGCCTCGAGCGTTCATTTGATATTTAATATATGATATATTTATATCACCTAGACTTAGTTTTAGTTTTTTCCTTTTGATTCACTTTTGTACCATTAATATTAATTCATTATTATTGTAAACTGTAATTTTATTTGTATAGAATTGGTTGTTTGTGGTACAGTGTTATTGGGTTCGACCTGTTTCTGTACCCACATGAGATAAATAAATAAATAACAGGATGAATTATAAAAAAATTGTGAAATATATAATCATTGAACAGAACTACATAATTTTCATTATAAGTTCATTACCTGTTTATATTCAAGTTTAAAATATTATATACATAGATAAAGGTTGCACCACATGGTATTATCCGATTAATCCGTGTAAACAAATTGTGGGCAGTTAAACCCTCTAAGACCCATCCTTGTTGACCAAACTTCGACGTGCTAGAGAATTCGCTCTAGCATTCGCTAAGTTTGCCGTTAATAATTAACAAAATTTAAATCCGCCCTACAATAATGCTTCTAACTTAATAAGTTATCACCCAATTATGAATATATTCATCTTTGTGAAATTATTTAATAAAGTACTACGTAGTGCATAGGTTTTGATAAAATATTCAGTACCGTCCCTCAATTCATGGCGCCTACGTCTTGCACGCTGCATAACAACGTGTACTACTCACAGTTCACCTCTTCTGTTCCGCAGATTTCCCTCTGTGCCATGCATTGCAATTCAGGTGCGCTAACGCTGTGTGCATACCGAGGAACTTCCACTGCGACGGTTACAGCGACTGTACGGACGGATCCGACGAAAAGAATTGCACTAGCGTGCCGTGTCCGGAGAACAAATTTGCGTGTCCAAAAGCGCGAGGAGAAGATAAACCAAAATGTCTCGATAAAAGTAAATTGTGTGACGGAAATCGGGATTGTGAAGATGGTTCCGATGAAGAAAGTGCTTGTTGTAAATATCAATAAAAAATCTATTTATTATCTATTTCTTCAAAATCACTTTTTTTCAGCAAAAGCATCGTGTCCATTATTGGATTGCGAATTCACTTGTAGTGCATCGCCAACTGGAGGTGTTTGTGATTGCCCAAAAGGGCGAAAACTAGTAAAGAACAAGACTTGCGTTGACTTGAACGAGTGTCAGGAATGGGGATATTGTGACCAGAGATGTATCAATACCGATGGAGGTTACAGCTGTTCTTGCGCTAGAGGTTACAATTTGAACAAAATCGGCAACAGGTGTATGGCACAAAATGCCAGCCAAATGATGTTGGTGTTCGTACACGATGGCGGCGTCAACGTTATGAACTCACAGGGTCAGGATGTTAAGTTTCTTGCAAACGCGACTGGAGCGACTGGATTGGATTTTCATTATCAGAAGAAATTGTTGTTTTGGTCGGATACGAAAACTAGAAGGGTAAGTTCAAAATTCAAGTATAAATTTATATTTTATCCACTAAGTTATATTTAAAATTTTGCGATTCAGCATTACTATGGATGTTATTTATTTTTAATACGTTTAGCTTTTGTTAAATTACAAAATATTATTTAATACGTTCATAACTTAAAATATGCGGAAATTCTAGTAACGAAATATTCCCAACAAAATATTGTAAAAGCCCTTGCTTTTGTGACACCGAAAATGTTGTTTTACCAGTAAATTATTTTTCAATTAAAACATTTAAAAATTTAGTAATTTTATTTGCATATTACATTTTGATTAAATTATATATTTATTACTGACGAATACAATACCACGTTATAATATTTTGTTTGTATAAATCTATTTGCCAGATTGATTTGTTTACGAAACGAATATATTAATTGATTAATAAGAGGTTGTATGAAATGACGAACAAGAATCTCTCAGTTTGTAAAATGTTAGTTATTTATTTAGTATATCAACTATCTTCCACATTTTAATCTCTATTTTCTTCCGAACCGGAACGCGGGTGAAGATTCCATGGTGAATACATCACCTTGAAATACTTTTACTCTATACCAAAAGCTTATACATACATAAGCTCTCTAAATTTTCATGCAGAATATCCATTGCTGCGCTGGGTGGCAGGTAGCGCCATCCTGCTGGAACTACATGTCGTTCATGTCCATATCATTGAATTCGGACCATAAGAAATTTTGACGATGAAAGCCAACATCGTTTTCGAAAAAGTGCGGACCAACGATGCCGCTGGGCCAAAATTCGCTCCAAACAGTAGCTTTCTGTGAATGAATTACCTCTTGGTGAACCGGAGGTCGTGTTAGTTGGTGTCGTCCCTTATACGGAACTTTGCTTGTTGACATACCCATCGCTAAAGATGATTTTTCATCCAAAATTGAGGTCCTCTACCAAACGGTCCGAAGTCCATTCAGCGCATATACGACGTTGTCTATGGTCAACAACGTTGAGCCCTCTTATACGGGCGTAGGCTCAAGTCCCGACGTACGATTCGCCAAGTTGAAGTCTGCGAGAGTTATTGTACACGACAAGGATTTGACCGCCTCGGGTTCTCCTGCACATTTTCACAGGCACCGGCGATGTTCTCGCCTAATCTGACATTGCTTTGACGTACGAGTTGTTAGCTGATTGTTTACCTAGCCGATCGTCTTGAATTTGGCCACTAAACGTTGGAGAGTCGACATTAATCACTATAAAATGAGCACAAAGTGTGCAACGTTTGCGCCAACGAACACTCATTTTGATGATAAAGTTTTATCATTTGGGCGTGCTGCTCAATGTTGTAACTTGACATGGTGATTTAGCCCTAGTGACTGAATAATAAACAACAAATCATAGATAAGATATAATATATTTGTTATATAGATGGGCAACTATAAACGTTTGATTGAAATGCGCAATTAGTTTTGGATACTGTCACCTACAGCGCTGAAATCATTGGCAGGCGGGAAATATAAATTAAATTTGTTATTTGAAAGGTTTATCGATGATTTTTTACGAAAGCATTGCTTGGCGACAAAACTTTACAAACTGTGCAAAACTTTAAACACATTAAATTTTGTCGTTTACAATGTTTTACAAAAAAACATCAAAAAAACATGACTAGGTATTAAATTATTATTTGGTACAAACCCTGTACCAAATTAAAAAGTCTTTAAATGAATAACAAAGACTTTATTCTTTAATTTTTTTATTATTATTTTTACCACATCGTTTCCTTTTAATTTTATTGCATTTATCCAATGCTGCTTCCGCATCAATCGAGGTGTACTTATTATAAAGCAACAACAACAAATCGCCTTTTCTTCAAACCGCTAGCAACTCTTCCACTGTACACAATACAACGCAATCAAAAATATTAGTATGTCAAACCTGGTCAAACCAGTCAAACTGACAACTCAAAAAATTGCCAAAATGGGTTCTGTAATCGAAAGCAACGCCATAAGTGACAGTATCCAGAATTAAACGTATGTTCCCAACTTCATTAATACGAGTGACTGGTGCATGCAACAAATTTGGCAGAAATCGCCAAAACTACATGGTTGCCGCAGACTGTTATCAGCAACTCACCCTGTTGGAAAACCCATTAAAAGTGATAATGGTAAATCTGGATAACAAATCTCTGCAGATCAAGATGACTTATTAGTAATTGTTTTTGGTTTTTCTTAACATCGTGTTGATTTAGATGAAAATACTTCCAGAATCTTCCAATTCAATTTTTAATAGTTTATTTCTGTTTTAATTGTTTGATCGTAAGAATTTTAAATTGTAATCTGAAGGATATGGTTATCTTTTATTCAAAAATTGACGTAAGTAGAAATAAGGACTCAATAATTTTTCTTTAAGATTGACATAACCTAAAAATAATTTTAATTTTCTTTTCTTTTCTTTTACACACTGTTTTGAATTTCAAACTTAATTTTGATTTGATTATCTTGTATTCATGTACAGGAATTTTCCTGAGGATGAGGACTGGATCCTCGAAACATGTAGAATAGAGAATTTAAATAAATATAACATTGAAAAAGTATAGAAAAAGTATTTTCATCTAAATGACTTATGAGTCAGAACAATGTCAACGCACACCTTGTTAGTAGTAACAGAAGTCTTGTCTCTGGATCTAGTGGCAATAGAATGAACCCGAAACTGATATCACAATTTGCAAAAAAACAGCACTACAAATATTTTGCAATGAACGATCAAATAGGAAACATCTGCGTGAAACAATTTTAGACAGATCTCCACTTTAGGATAAATGACGTCTAAGTTTTGCTAAACCTAAAAAAGTGATTGAAAAATAAGTCTCACACCAGCAAGAAAATTCATTCAATAATTTGTTATATTTCAAATGGCTTTTTCTTAAGTTTTTTAAATGGAACAACCTGTATATTGTGTGCTAGTTGAATTGCTCATCAAGTTCCCTTTATTTAATGATAAGTATGTCATATGTCTAACTTTAATAGCTTTCCTGATATTTAGAATTTAAAGAAAAATGTGTAATAAAATGTCATTATTGTACTTAAAAAAGTGACAAAATGTAATCTGTTTTTTGTTTGTCTGTCAATTGTAAATCAGTAATATTATATTAAAATACAATTTAAATAAAAACTGTAATAAATAAATAATCAAAACGTGATAAAAAATACAAAAAATACAATTAAATGGCAGAACAATAAATCCCTTTTTTAATTACTAAATTATTTGAAGGAAATGCAGCAACAAACTATAAACAATTACTAAACGTTGCTCAACAAGTAGGTATTAATTTAATTAATATTTAGAAGTTGTTCAAAATGCCGCCCATTTTCTCTTCTACAAGCATTAATGAGCTGTATAAAAGACCTTGAGGTATCTCTTAACATGTGCATCTTATTTGCTCTAAAGTCGTAAATTATGTTGCATATTTTATTATTTACATCTTTTTAAATCCCATAAAGCACCAAATCGCATTAAAATTTGGTATATGGCAGAAAAATTATTTTATATTATAAAATATTAATCAAATAATAAAAGGAAGAACAAAAAAAACTTATAAAAATAGACAGAATATAATATTAAGTACAATAACGCATATTTTATTACACATTATTCTTTAAATTCTAAATATCAGGAAAACTACTAAAGTGTATGAAGTGTATAAAGGTATATGACATACTTATCATTAATTAAAGATAACTAAAAGGTGGGCAATTCAACCAGCACACAATATACAGGATGTTCCATTTAAGAAACTTATGAAAAAGCCATTTGAAAAACATCAAAAGTAACTAAGGTTTATGAACACGCTGTATAGCGTATCTAATATCTTTGGATACTCTTTGGATAATTTACCTACTGGCTTTGACTATTATCTGACACAGTTTCAAGGCAAAAATGTCGTTTTTACATCGTTTTTAAAAAGATCCTGCACACATTTTGGAAAAACAATTGAATATCTCAGGAACTATGAACGCTATGAGTTAGTAACATATATGGTTGTAATAAACAAATCATTACCACACTCATTTGAGGTGATTTGAGTTACGTAATGAAATATGACTGATATGGAAAATTACATATTTATGTTTTCAATGATATAGGTATAAAGTTGGAGAACCACAATTGAAGTCATATTATGTGACTTAATGCAGACATATCATCACAACAGAATTAAAATGAAGTTTTCTTCACCTTATCCCATTTATTCCCACTGAAAAATTTTTTTAGAGAATACCGTAAACACTCGTTAAAGCTATTGAAAAACATTTAAAAATGTCATACAAAATTGTTTTTTAAATAATTTTAAGGAATGCAACCCTTAAGGGCACGTACTCAAATGAGTACAATGGGAACATAATGACGTTATAAGGTATGTGCAACTTATCAAGCCAAACAATGATTCTACCTTATTTCTTATGAAAATTTATAAAACAATAATGTTACACTGCATTTGATACAAGTCCATCTTAAACGCTTATGACAAACGCGACATCGTAACTACTTTTCGAGCTTTTTCGGAAACCACTTGAATCGCATACCAGACTCAAGGGAAGGTGTTTGCTATGGACCGCAAAGAGATAAGCCTAGTTGCCGCCTTTTAACTGGTGTACTTCCCAAGAATTCACCAATGTTATGTTTACCATGTAATCCAAAGGGACCAGTCCCATTTCTTTCCTTGTATGGAAACGCTGTAATTATTTACTGATTGATTCAGTAGGTCTACGCCACCCATAACGGCATTATAATTTTTGAAGAGGAGTGGTTGAGGAACCTCTATTTTCCTCTTTCGACCCTTAGACCAACGCTTTACTTTAAAAAGAGGATAAATTGAGTCGTAGTTTGTCATCATTGTTATCAAACTGTTTTTCCTGTCCTATTTATGTTTGAAAGTTCCACGAGTATCCTTTTTCATTTCTTTCTCATTGGGCAAAGGACACTTATTTGTGCGATTTATACGGACTGTTCCCGTCGCTCTATGG